CCCCTGAAACATCGGGGCTCCGTGTACCTGCTCCAGGGCAGGCCCTGCAGACCCAGCTTCTTGATGCTGACTCAGAAACGGCCTCCACCCGCCTCTGGCTTCCCTCTGTCAATTACCCATCAAACTCGAGTCCCACGCCACATCGCCTGGGAAGTTTCTGGAGCATGCCCAGGCCTCAGTAGGTCTGGTAGATCAACGGTAGTGTGCCCAGTGGCAAGGAAGGAGAAGGGAACGCCTGCCGTGAGCCACACGGACAGAGGCAAACCAAGGCATGAAGGGTCTAGGGGCTGCGGCAGAGGGTGATGGAGGAGATGGGCTGCAGACGCGCCTGCAGGGAGGGCTTGGTGCCTCCTATGCCCAGCATCTTACAGGCGAAGAAACTGAGGCTTGAAGAGGGCAAGTGACTTGCCCAGGATCACACAGATTGGCAGGAGCTAGAGCTGAGGTTTGAGCCCACGTCTGCGGCCGGCCAGCCCCAACCCCTCGCCCTGATGGCCGTTGCCACCAGACAGAAGGCACCAAAGTACGTGTAGCTTTGGACAGGTTTGGGCTTCAGCTGTTTTTTAAGATTAAAAGGGGTTTTGAGAGCCGTGGTGGATGTGGGTTATACCTATTGACTCTTATGCATCAGACACGAACACTGAGAAGTTAACATAAATAACAATTTTTTATGAAAAATAGGTATCTTTTCAAAAACAGAAGTGCAGGCAGAGCAGCCCCATTCTGTGTCTCAACTCAGCTGTCTCAGGCCAGGGTTGTCGTGGCTGCTTCTGACTGCTGGGGCCTCGGGGGACAAGCAGGACCGGCAGCAGAGACAGATGTACTCTCGGGAGAGAATCGTACACAAGGAGACTCTGGGGCTCCTGCCGCCTTCAACAAAGGAGATTCACCAAAGCGTTTCCATCTAGGGAGACTTTTTGTTTGTTTGTTTTGCTTTTTTTTATTTAAGGGTCTTATTGACTGAAAGTTAAAGCTGGGATTGCTTTAGAGAGACTGAGGCCAGGAGCCCAGGGGAGGATTTGCCCCAGAGCAGGTGAGAAAAGGGGAGCCCTGAGGGGAGGGCGTCCCTTCAAGGGTATAGTGTTTAGTGTGTCAGATCAACAGGACCTGGCCAGGTTGGTTTGAGGGAGGGATGAGGGATCTTTGGGAATGTCCCCTGAGGTCTGGGGGTGTTTGCACAGGAAGGAGCCAGGAGGGCCCCTGGGGGGAAAGAGCCCCCACAGCAGTGCATGTGGACCACACCCTGTCCCTCACTGGCGACCCACATGCGTGCTGGGATTGGCCCACTGTGAGGTGGGGCCATGCAACAGGATCCTGTGGGTTTGGGGGTGGAGACAGGTGCAGACACTCAAACTGCATGCTGTGTTTACTGTTTACAATCCGCTGGCCCCATCGCTCCCTGTCAGGCTGCAGCACTCCCCTCCCCC